ACCAAACAGTGACTAAAAGTACACTTACTGCAGTGTACACAGTGTACAGTGTACACTGTGTAAAAAAAATTATTCAAAGATTCAATTATTCAGTAACAAACATTATTCTTACCCATAGCAACACACTAAACAGCTGGCTTCTTGTTACTCAATAACAAATAGTTTATTCATTCTTGTACATCTACATACATGTACCTTCATATTCTCCCCTTAATCCAAATGGATCACGATAACTCTCAATGAATCCAATATACCTAGTCACACCAAATCATCATCACATCATCATGTACTTACGTTTCAACAACTGGTCCTTTATCTTTAATCCAATAACGAGATCCATCTTCATGATCAGGTACTGACCCTCTACTAAAACTAGACACATATCTATCAATCATATCCTTCTGGTTCCTGTTAGCAACGTGATGAGCAGCTGCCTCCAGTTCATCAGTCATCCTCTTCATTAGTGTATCATAGTCTCCTCTTGATATCTTAATGGAGACACTAGAGCTGGTTCTAGGGGAAGGGAACTGATGGAGTCCAAGTAATGATGATACTTTATCATTTGGACTAGGAGGAGTATCTGAGAGAAAGAGGAGAAGAAAGGCAATGAGAAAGGAGTTAAGAAAAGGAAGAGAGAGAGAAATGAGAAATGAGGTGAGGGATGATCATGATATTGATACACTAACCATTAGTAAGAGATGATGCCAATCTTAATTCATAGGTCCCATCTTCATTCTTGAACAATCTTGTATTGTTTGGGCTCAAATCCTATTAATAATGATAATATAATTATGAGAATTACGATCTAAAGAAGCATTACTGAAAAATTACCAGACTTCATAGAGTACTACTAAACTTTACTATTAAAAACTAGACTTTACTAGCTTACACTTTACAGAAAGTGCATTAATTTCCTTAATCATGCATTGCAGGATGCATAAAATAAATCTGTATAATTACACAACCGAGTTGCAATCAATTATGGTATTTATGTACGTGTATATGCACTATAGCTTCCCAAACTTTTGTCCAAGTACATGTACTGTATTTCCTCAAATAAAAGCCAGGGTGTTTATTTCTTATGATGGCATTTGAACCTCAAAAAATAAATAAAATAAAAATTGAGCCAACAGCATGATTCAAACCAGGGACCTCATGCAAATGATTACAGGATGCTTAAGGAAGTATCTATAAGGCATCTATGTGATTTCAAAGCTAGAATTAAGTATTTATACTTCCATTTTATTGCTACTCTGGCGTTTATTGTGCCAGGCTTTTATTTGAGGATATACAGTATATTTTATAGTATTGTCTTGCACTACAAGATGTCTTGTATAGGAATGTGGTTGTGATTTATCATAACCAAAAGGTATACCTTACACATGTGTATATACACACAATACATAGGCAATGAAAATGAATGGAGTAACTGGAAGTATAAATACTACCATTACATTACATACTGTATGTCAGTGACACCAGAACCTGGATATCCACATAGTTTCTTTTAAATGACCAGTGAATGGCTTCAAAAATGCACACAATGCCCAGTGAATGGCTTGAGAACTTAGAGAAGCCAAGTCAAGTTATGCATAAGACTAGTGAATGGCTAAAGAGAAGCCAATCAGGTTATGCACAAGACTATAGACCCCCTAGGTGCTAAGACTATTTTGTATGAATTATTCACGGTAGCCACCCACAATTAAAATTATTGACGGCAAGAAGCTCTCGACATCAAAGGCAGATCAAAGCCCAAGGTGCCTAAGGTGATATGATGTCATCAATGACCACGCCCCCTAACAGGAAGCAATGGCCACCAGCTAGCAACTTTAGCAAGCTCTAACTTTTCCAAATCAAGTGCAATGCAAGAATGCAATTAGGAATAGTCTA